AGCCCACCGAGGCCGCGAATGTTTCATAATTGGGTTAACTGAAATAAAACCAGTAAAGTGGGATTCGCCTACTGAAATATTGCAACTAGCTGACGAAAGTTTGCTATCCAGTTTCGAAAAAAACTTGCGAATAATTACAAAAAGCTATACAATAAATAAATATTATCATAACTGATCATTCCTTAGTGGAGTTATAGAGTTGCAAAAAAAAGTAAGTTGCTGGTTATTTCCTCGATCCTCGATTCATTAATGCTAACCTTGTACGTTTGCATGTGTCGAACACGATGGGGATAGGTGCGCATCCAGATAAGAAGGTTATCCAAATCTCCAAATTATAAATTAAACCAATGTCTCAGGCACTATTTTCGCTTACAATTTTATTGCCTTCTTTATCTGAATGAAATGGTAATTGCTTTAAAAAACGAGCGTCGAATAGGCGCCGTTTACATACCTCCCCTAAAAGCCTTAACGCGATGAAATACAACCGCTGCAATATCAGATTCGAAAATGCCACGCGTATTTATAAGCATGTGTGCATACAGCCTTTGTGTCATCCCATGACATAATCAGGATTCCAAAATTTGTTTTCATTTCAAAAGGGTTACCTAAGTACGTTTTTAGTATGAATCAGGGTGCAGCATAACTAAACCATCTGAGTCACGCCAGAATATTGGTTGGTGTAACCATTCTCTACAACCTACAATTGTGATTGCTCGTTACTTTGTGTACTACGAGATTGTCAATCACCAAGGCAATTCCCAAGGTAGGACCAAATATATTGTTGTACACAGAACTATGACTTGCCGTCTTAGGGCTATGACATGCGCGGATGGTCTTGCGGCTTAATGCCAAAATGTTTTTGTTAAGCAGAATGCTGGATTGTGAATGCACGTATTTACGGCGCCTCGAGGTAACCCAATGCGGCCAAGACAAAAGGTCAGATGGCCAATCAAGCCCCTAGGCGAATGAGGGCACAAGCTGATTGGTCGCATTTATAATCTTCCATATCATATAGTCCCCGTCGAGGGACACAACAAACGACTTCCTTTCCCTTACGGCCTTGTTCGTTGTTCTCCTTGCTGAACTGACACAAAGAGAATGGACGGCACAAATCTAAGCTTTGGAAAGCCAGTACAACAATTGGCGACGAAGAATTCACTATGGCTATCTCCGTGGAACAATTGCTAGCGATCTTACAGCAACAGAAAACTCACTTTGAAGCAGCTCAACTAAAAATGGCGGAATCAATGATGCAGAATTTCAGTCTACATTCCCCTGCTCCAGAATCCTCTGGGAAACAGTCCATGACAGCGGACGCAGCTGCTGCCTCCATCGCCGAGTTTCATCATGATCCCGACTTCAGCGTGACATATGAGGCTTGGTTTAAATGATGGGAAGACATCTTCCGCACGGAATTTGCCAAATTCGGATGATGCTTGGAAGGTGGGCCTGCTACAACGCAAAATGGGCACCAAAGAGCACGAATGGTACACGGATATCATTCTGCCAAAAAACTCTCGTGACTTCACTTTCGTCGAAACCGTCAACCGCCTGTCAGAGATCTTCAGCGAGAAGTCCTCTTTGTTCAGCATTCGATACCGGTGTCTCAAGTTGGCCAAGAACGACACAGATGATTTTCTGACACCCGCCAGTATTGTCAACAGCGGGTGTGAAGGGTTCAAGTTCCGAGAGATGACAGAAGATCAATTCAAGTCCCTCATCTTTGTGGGCGCCCTGCAGGCACCTCGTGATGCTGAAACCAGGACTTGTCTGTTCTCCAAAATGGAGCAGGACCCATACTCCAAACTGCAGACTTTGACGGCCGAGTGTCGGCGGCTCAAGAATCTTAAGCATGATTATGCCATCGTGGAGCAACCCAGTTCCTCGTCTGCCATCAACAGCGTTCAGGCTGTCACTCGCGCGAGCTCGGTATCTCAACAGAAGTCCCAGGACTCCACACTCTGAAAGCCACCGTCAGCATGCTGGCAGTGTGGTGACTGGCATTTCGTTCGCTTCTGTCCATTCAGGAAGCACTTATGTCAGAAATGCCATAGACGAGGGCATGAGGAAGCTTACTGCCCGGCAGACCAACCCCGCAAATCAAGGGCAAAGAATAAGAAGACAAGGCGTCCCAACAGCCCTTCACCTTACTCTGGTCTACAGTGTCACTCAATCCGAGCCCAGTTGAAGACTGAATTTGAGGCACAGAGGAAGTACCTTACGGTTAGCATCAATGGCAAGTCTGTACAGCTTCAGCCTGACACAGCCTCAGACATCACTCTTATCTCCAAGTGCACCTGGCAGGTGCTTGGATGGCCTCCGATGATCACATTGGGTCCGGAGGATTTCG